CCGAGAAACCTTACGGTCGCTGCCTTCCAATTTGGATGAGACATACATTCGAATGCTGCAACGCATTGTCAAGGATCGTAACAAGGATGTTGCAGTCGAGGCGTTTCGGTGGCTCACTGTGGCAAGGAGGCCGTTGTCACTACGAGAACTCGTAGAGGCAGTGGTTATTAGGGATGATGACACCATGCAAATACAAGGACTAAATCGTATTCCGACGGACCTAGTTAAGGTTATTGAGGCCTGTGGAAATTTTTTGATGGTAGCAGAGCCAGTGTGTGATTCGTCGAACGTCCGCTTCATACATTCGACTGTTGTAACCTTTCTGCACACATACCAATTACCAGCACAACTCGAGGTATTTCACATTGAGCCACGAACTACTGAAGTGCATCTGGCCAAAAGGTGTCTACAATACTTGCATTTTCGGGACCTTCAGACTCAACTCGAACCAGCTACTGTTGAGTCGATATCAAAACCAAAGCAACCCTCGGCCGTACTCGCCATGCCTTTATCCAGGTGGATTCCATCAGAAATGCAGTCAGGGTTGGTTGCAGCAGCCACTCGCCGGACCCTTGAACAACCTTTGGCGTCCATTGCTCCCAAGAGGGCCAACCTGAAACTTTTTAGTCCAACTTCAGCGGCAATGGGTGCAGACACCGATGCATTAAGGTCTCAGATGCACAAATCTAGTTTCCGCGATTACATTATAGAGAACTGGCTCAACCATTGCAAAGTTCTACCCGAAGCTTTGGGGCCCTCCGTAGATCAGAAACAATATTGGACCTGGTTTAGAGATTTGGCCCTTAATAGCTTTAATCTGGTCAAGCTCCCATGGCCGTCAGATTCACCAACAGCAGATGATCCTCACCATGAGTGTTTCAAGTGGGCAGCTCAGAACTTACATGAGGGCCTAGTCCAACTGATATTTCACGAAGTAGCCTCCGATGGTATTTTCCCATCTCAGTATACAGACGCCTTCCTTGCCAGAGCTTCTGCTGGGACAAAGTATGAGCATCAAATTTCAGAGATGCCTCTAGTAGTCTCCGCTGCACTCGGATTTCCTTACCTCGTCAGCTTCTACCTCAGCAAAGGCTCACAGTTAGACTGTGAATTTCACTTGGGTGAAACAGGAGAAAAACAAACAGCCCTCATGGCTGCTTCAGCAGGAGGCCACCTCGCAACTGTAGAACACATACTGCAAGCTGGTGAGAAGCTTACATACAATCCAGAATACCTGCGCAAAGCTCTCCATTGCGCTTGTTCTGGAGGTCATCTACAGATTTTTGAAAGACTCGTACTTGCAGGAGCTCCAGTGGTTTGGAGCTCCTTACTGATAGAGGCTGCAAACGCAGGACAATTGAGATATGTGTGTCACATCCTAGACCAACGGACCTTTTGGACAACAGCTCGCTTGGCTGAAACACTTGCTGAGGCGTTCAACTGTGCAGCCCAAAATGGACATGCAGAGGTCATGGAACAACTCGTTGAAACGATTATTGATCCCTTGCAAGATCAGAATTCCGTTCATCAATCGGTTGCGGATGGTCCAAAAATGAGCGTCCAGCTTGCAACGACGGTAATGAATGTAGCTGCAGACCACGGCCAAGCCGAACTTGTAAAGCAGCTTTTAGGAGCAGGAGTGGAGGTCAATAGCAGTGACGACAATAAGAAAACACCCTTACACTGGGCTGCAGCAGGAGGCCATGTCGAGGTTGTAACGCAGCTTTTAGAAGCAGGGGCGGAGGTCAATGCCAGTGACGCAGATAAGGAGACACCCTTGCACTGGGCTGCAGGAGGAGGCCATGTCGAGGTTGTAAAGCAGCTTCTAGAAGCAGGAGCGGTGCTTAACAGCAGTGACGACAATAAGAAAACACCCTTACACTGGGCTGCACGAGGAGGCCATGCCGAGGTTGTAAAGCAGCTTCTAGGAGCAGGAGCGGAGGTCAACAGCGGTGACAAAGATCAGAAGACACCCTTGAACTGGGCTGCACAAGGAGGCCATGTCGAGGCTGTAAAGCAGCTTCTAGAAGCAGGAGCAGGGGTCAATGCCGCTGACGCCATGAAGAAGACACCCTTGCACTGGGCTGCAGCAGGAGGCCATGTCGAGGTTGTAAAGCAGCTTCTAGAAGCAGGAGCAGGGGCCAATGCCGGTGACGTCATGAAGAAGACACCCTTGCACTGGGCTGCAGCAGGAGGCCATGTCGAGGTTGTAAAGCAGCTTCTAGAAGCAGGAGCAGGGGCCAATGCCGGTGACGTCATGAAGAAGACACCCTTGCACTGGGCTGCAGCAGGAGACCATGTCGAGGTTGTAAAGCAGCTTCTAGAAGCAGGAGCGGAGGTCAACAGCAGTGACGCAGATAAGGAGACACCCTTGCACTGGGCTGCAGCGGGAGGCCATGTCGAGGTTGTAAAGCAGCTTCTAGAAGCAGGAGCGGTGGTTAATTGCTTTGACATTTTTAGATGGCCACCCTTGCACAGGGCTGCAGCAGGAGGCCATGTCGAGGTTGTAAAGCAGCTTCTAGAAGCAGGGGCGGAGGTCAATGCCAGACACGCAGATAAGGCGACACCCTTGCACTGGGCTGCAGGAGGAGGCCATGTCGAGGTTGTAAAGCAGCTTCTAGAAGCAGGAGCGAAGGTCAATGCCAGTGACGAATATAAGGAGACACCCTTGCACCGGGCGGCACAAGGAGGCCATGTCGAGGTTGTAGAGCAGCTTCTAGAAGCAGGAGCGGAGGTCAACAGCAGTAGCGACAATAAGAAAACACCCTTACACTGGGCTGCAGCAGGAGGCCATGTCGAGGTTGTAAAGCAGCTTCTAGAAGCAGGAGCGGAGGTCAACAGCAGTGACAAATATAAGAAGACACCATTGCACGAGGCTGCAGAAGGAGGCCATGTCGAGGTTGTAAAGCAGCTTCTAGAAGCAGGAGCGGAGGTCAACAGCAGTGACAAATATAAGAAGACACCATTGCACGAGGCTGCATCAGGAGGCCATGTCGAGGTTGTAAAGCAGCTTCTAGAAGCAGGAGCGGAGGTCAATGCCAGTGACGAAGATAAGCATACACCCTTGCACCAGGCTGCACAAGGAGGCCATGTCGAGGTTGTAAAACAGCTTCTTGCAGCAGGGGCTGAGGTCAACAGACGCGATAATAAAGGCCAGACAGTCCTTATGCATGCAGCTTCAGCTCCTTCGTGGGTGTCCCGAAATCGAAAGCGAGACGCTTTCGAAACTGTGAAAGCCCTATTGGCGAACAATGCCCTAGTGGGCCACGAAACCTGTCGTTCAAACCATGGCTTCGATAAGCTACCGCATGATACCTCGCCATCTGAACTGGAAGCCAACGCAGGGGCCTTATGTTCAATTGCCTTGGCTGTTCGATACACAAATCAGGAGATAGCAGAACTACTGGTGGAAGCATATCTGAACCAAGCTAATCGAGCCTGAGGAACTGGTGGGTATTGGGAATTCTACCGCAAGCCGCGAATGATAACAATATGTATGTATACACACCTCAATAATCACCTTGACAGCTTCCTAGCATTCTTACTTATTTTCCCTGATTTTTTGTAGGTTTTTTTTTTTTTTTTTTTTTTTTTTTTTTGGTTCAGTAATCGTGTGCGGAATTTCCCAGTTTCTCTTTTTGAATTTTGAATTTCATTTCGCGCTCAGACTAGTCAGCTCACTTTCTCTTAACGAAGCTTGTTTTCATCTCAGAAACGCGGTACTTCGTGCCCCTACTAGTGTGTAAACCATAGCAATTGGCTTTTAAGAGACTACGGAAATCATACGAAACCACCGCCCATAACCAATTTCCTGACAAACAAGCAACTGTGTAAGATTTGGCCAATGGGTCAACCTATCCACGAATGTTACCGAATCGTTCGAATTGTCGGATAGTTCAGCTTGCTTTTCACCAATGAATTGGTAAGCTACTATGACTCGTTACAACGACACAATATGGTCAAATTTACGGGTGGATATTCCCTCCCGGACAGGCCATGACAAGGGAGCAGTTTTCGTTTCCAACTGAATACGTAAAACAACCGGTATAAGCATGCATATTCGATATAAGCATATGACTCCCACCCCCGCCATACAAAATGAGCTCAATTTCGATGTTAATTTTTCGCAAGATTAGAGGTTTTAAAATTTCTCATTCATTTATCAGCATTTGCTTATTTTCCTGTGCCTGTTATATATATACACTTGTAATGAGTTGAACACTCTACCGAATTAGGGGGCTTATAGATACGGGATCCCGTCTCATGATCAAAATATCACAGAGTTTCAGGGGGGGTTGATGCGAGAAAAGCGGAGAATTGAATTCCCGGAAGCCAGGAGAAAGTATCAGCAGCTTTAGAAGATCCCGATTTTATTTCCACTCTCCTCTTGAGATATCTACCTCCGCTTGTATTTACCCTTTAGGAACATACTCCACCGTATGCTTGTTACGAGGTTTCTTAGTCTGGCCGTGCCAACCAGACTAGAGGTTTCTGATATTTCTAATGATGTAGGATACAAGAGGACACCATGGGAGGTATAGAATTAATCCAGTCGGGGATCGTGCCAACCAGACCAATTATTTAGGGCTTCAATCCGAGACAGCGAAGCGGGTTATCCAGAATCTTTTTAATACAGATTTTAGTATTCCGGCGCCCTGTCATGAAATTCTAGCGGAACCATGGCAACCTCTTTTTTTTTCCTTCATTTTTGTGTGGCTCTGAATCCTTAAGGCAATAGCGCGAGGAGACTCCAGCCATGGTGTTCGCGCGGTGCAATGCACCTTTGACAGTCCATCCAATGCAGTTTCTCCATCTTTTCCAGTAAATATGATATATGCATTTTCGTATTTTCACGATTATATTCTGGCGCCTAGTCTCGTAACCAGACGCTGACTATCTAGCGCCCACACAACAGGACCTTTTGCATCTCAGCGGTAAAATTTTAACCCCAAACCAAAGTTATTATTGCATGAAAATTCCAAAAATGAAAATCATAGTTCTGCATCGACCGGGAGTCGAACCCGGGCCATTTGCTTGGAAGGCAAATATCCTACCGTTGGACCATCGATGCAGTACTATGATGCAATTTGAAAATGAACCTCATACAGTACTTAACGGTTGTGATGTCTCCAGACCAAGAAAAATCGCTTGGCAACTTCCCCGAGTTCCCAACACCGCCGAACCGGGGAAACAAAAACTAAAAACCACACAGCGCCCTTTTCCGCACATTACAAACTTTTTTTTTGTCGGACTTGTCACCTTCTTGCGGGAACTCTATCACCTACTACCTTCGACCCTATGACAGACAATTGGTATGATACCCTAGATACAGCACTCGTATTCTATCCAATCTACACTGGAGCGGATATCAACACACCTCCCCCACGCGCCGGACTCCAGGTATCAACATAAATTACTTAACGTCGTGCCACAGCCGGCAGACCAGCTCTATAGCAGCGCTACTTTCTACGGTACTGTAGCATACATAAGCGAAGAAGGGTGCCTGGGATCTCAGAGCTTACAAGTATTCGACAACTCGATCTGCGCCCCATCCTGAGGTCCATTCTAGACACGCTTAGTAACGGGCAACTGTACCGTGGCATCATACTCAGAATCCCTGGCATACATCTCGATACAGTTACTGTACAGTTTCTGTGAGAAAATGAATTTTGTGGATAACTCCATCACTTCTTGAGAAGTTTTCTTGGTATGCTTCTCACATTTTGAATAAGATAAAATATTGATATTCAAGTGTCCTACTGCTTTTATCAAATTTAATTCAGGTGTAATAAGTGGAATTCAATACCAGTGATATCACAGCGAAAATATATGCCAAGCCTATGCCAATTTATCGTACAAATTTCATGAATCATAAATTCCTTCAAAGCAACATATATGACGAAGCGAAGGTGTGGAATATGAAGAATAGTCCTTAATTTAACTGCTCTACAAGTTGCATACAAATTCTATTCTGGTGGTTGAGATATATGTTGTCGCGCACGGTCAGTTTTGGTGTAAAATGTGTGTCGGGACGTGGTGCAAGTCGAGTTGTGGTGAATTACAGTATGCAATAATTGTGTAGGAAAACTACCTGAAATGGCAATTTGATGTATGAATTAGGCATTAAACAACATTGCGCCAATTGAAGCACTAATTAACAAGAGGCCTATTGGGGAGACTCTCTAGCCATAATTTTATAGCCATTATGGTGGGCGTTGAAGGGAGGTTGTGCATTCAATCCCCCAGTTCACTTTGTATGGGAATTCCATATAAATGCATGCCAAGACATCAATGAAAAAACTCTGGTGCCATTAATTAACCATAATGTCGCAAATAGAGGTATTGAAGGTGAAGAATAACCCGTTATTTAGCTTCCCTGAAGTGTGCATACAAAATTCTATTCTGGCGGTTGAGATATATGATGTCGTGCACGGTCAGTTTTGGTGTAAAATGTGTGTCGGGACGTGGTGCACGTCGGGTTGTGGTAAAAGACAGTATCTATCAATCCGATCTTTTTTTTTTTTTTTCATCTGATTACTGTCACTACAAACAAAATCTTTGGGTCTTGAAAAAATAAATCCAGCCAAAAAAAAACAAAAAAAGATACGGTAGTGATTTAATACGTCCAGTAAGTAATATAAATCTATCATACCCTAGAAAACTGCCAGTCCCCTGTTCTCGTACCCAGACTGGCACTGGTTGCTGCCAAGGGGTGCAAAGACCCACTATCTCAGAATCTGATATGCAAAAGTTCAGCCTTCCGGACTTGCATTGGGGGTTAGCTACGGAGAACAAGATGTTCTTTGTCCCGAGAGAGACGAAATATTAGCAAAGTAAAAAATAAAACAAACAAAGAATAGTTCCGCAATAAAAATATGTGTTTATCGAAAACACGTTCCTGATCCATTGGCTCTTCATTCGTTTCCTAAACATCAACCCTGTCAACTATGCATAGAATCCAGTCGCCCGATGATCATACCCTGCCGATCTCATTCGTTGCCCCGCTTAAAAGTAAGTATGCATACGTCCTAGTCTGGTTGCACCAGTGCGTCCGCGTACCCCACCCCAGCCCCGCCCAAGCCCACCCCACGCCACCTTCAACAGCAACGGCGCAACACCCGCAAACACATCTGCTCATCTCATATCAACAAACAACCTCCTCACGTCCCTCCATCGCACATTCCATCAAATCCCCATGCCTCCGTCGCAACCCCCCACGCGCAGCGTCCCTCCAGCGCCCTAGGAGAGCCAGCGACAGAACACGTGCCAGCATAACCACATACCTATCGCGATGCAAATCGGACCAGAGACACCATCATGCACGGCAACACACAGGTGCGCACACCCCGCGGCAACGCGAATATTAATATCAAATCCCGCATCCAGGTCTCTGCAGACAGCGATACCCGATAAGCATACCGTGGCTCGCAGCACCAGCCTCATTGGACATGAGCCGGAGAAATCAATATTGATGCCAGGACATGGACCCATGCACAGTCAAGCTTTCCCCGGTCGGCTCAAGCACCAAGATTCGGCAGGGGAGCCGATCTATGTGCACCAGCGCGGTGTCCAGGGATGCACAGGTCCTACTATGACTTCCGTACCTGTCATTGACCTTGTTCCTGAAAGACTTCTCGCACGTGGTAGTGATGCTTGCGATACTGTTCGCGATCTCGCACGGGAGTCGAGTTGCGAGGTGTCACAATCTGTGTGCCGAGTCTCCCGATACTGCGAACGTGATCATGATTGTGACACCCCCTCCATGAACAGTTCACACTCCCATAAATATTATTATACATCCTCGCCACCTTCCCCACCTCCGCACACCGGCTCCTGCCCCTCTCGCAGCCAAATACATTCGCTCTTACTCCGGCTGCTCGTATCCGCACACATACGAGTTCTGCTTTCCCTCTTTCTTCTCAGTGCCTTTCCCTTTGTCTCTTTTGTCTCGGGAAGCCACTTGACCCATTCCCACCACCACCACCACCACCACCCCCACCACCAGCATCGAAGTTTTCCCCTGCAAGCCATCACCATGCGGGCATCATGCCTCGTACCCCCCCTCCTTTCCCTGATCCTCCTCCCCACCTGCATCGCCTCCACTCCGCTCACCGTCACCCTTTCCCTCTCCTCCCGCACAACCCCAATCGAAGCCGACAAGGCTGCTGTCTACTATCCTCCCGATGGCACCTCCCCATCTGAGTTCCTCTTCCTCGGCAACGACGGCAGCGCCGCCACCGGTGGCTTCCGGGCCTGGACGCTCTCGGTAAACGCCACTAGTAGCGATATGGTCGAAGCTGGTCGTTTCTTCACCCGCCGCACCAAGCTCGTCAACATCCTCTACGACCTCGACGGCTCCGGTACCGACTGGGCCCTTACCCTCTCGCAAGTCGACTCCAAATTCCGCTTCTTCCAGCTCCCGGAGGTCACATATGTATCCGGTAGCGCTCCCGCCGGCGCCCCCACCGACGATAAAGTCCTTCTCGGTGACTGGTCGTCGCTGTGCCCCTGGCGCAGCCCCGACACCGGAAACACATACCTCTACGTATTCGGCAAACGCGAAGTCCAAGTCGTCATGGTCCGGGGCCGCAAGAGCGCCGCAGCGCCGGAGGTGGTCGAGGTGACGCAGTTCAAGGTGCCCGTCGAAGCCGCCGCATGCGCAGTCACAGAGCAGGGGACGGTTTACTTTGGCGGCGGCACGGGCGGGGTCGTGTATGCGTTTGCAGCGCGGGACTCTGTGGAGGCGCCGAAGGTGAAGCAGGTCGGCACTGCGGAGGATGACGTGGTTGGCCTGGTAGTGTATCACGGTCGGAATGAACTATTACTCGTCGGCACGGAGGAGAAAATAGATATCTTTTCCCTAGATTGCACCTCCGACGGCACGCAAGGTCTCGACGCACATCTTGCGACTCTACGGAAGCCGGAGAACGTGGATTCACTGAAAGATTTTACGATTTTGCAAGCGCCGGTTCCTGGGTCGGATTTCGTGGATGGACTACTCTGGTACGGCGCCGAGGGGGAAAACGCGCAGGGTGACGACGAGGAATTTTTTGGCCTGAGCCCGCTCGCGGGGTTACGCAGCGTCGGGGTAGGTGGAGACAGCGGCACAGCCTGGAACCCCCGGTCACATGTCTGCGACTCCTCCAGCGCCCTCTGCGGAAAAAGCAGGACAAACAAAAAAACCCAGAACAGGTGCTGCCGCCCAGACACATGCCCGCGCCTCCGTAACTGCTCCAACAATGGCTTCTGCCCGTCCTCCTTCAAACACAGGGCATGCGCGTGCTTCTCCGGTTCCACCGGCCCCACATGCGCGAAGCCGCAATGCCCAAACAACTGCTCCGGCGCCGCCCACGGAAAGTGCGTCGCTCCGTCGACCTGCGTCTGCGTGCCTCCGTGGACGGGTCCCGCGTGCGCGACGCTCGCCGTGCCGGCAAAGTTCGAGACGGAGACGGTCGGGGGGGAGGACGGAGACGACCCGGCGGTCTGGATCCATCCGGATCCGCAGCGCAGAGGGGAAAGTCGGATTCTGGGGACTCTGAAGAGTAAGGTGGGAGAGGGCATCGGGGTATGGGATTTGCATGGTAATGCGGTCGGATGGGGGGAGGCAAGAGAGCCGAATAATGTGGACGTCGCGTATGGAATTACCGTGGAGGAGTCGGATGGAGAGAAGGTGGACGTGGCGGTGGCTGCGTGTAGGGGCGACGACACCATTTGGTTAGTTTCGTCACTATATCTTGCTTAAATCATCTGTTTCGATTACTTTGGTGATGTTGTGTTAAATCTTATACTAACCAGAATGTGACCTCAACAGCATGTTCCTCATCTCCCCCACCGACGGTGCCCTGACCCCCCTCCCTCCCCAACCACTGCCGGAGGGCTTCATTCCATACGGCTCCTGTGTGTACCACTCGCAGCAGCCGCCCTCTTACCACCCATACGTCCTCATCAACTCCAAGACCGGCAAGTACCTGCAATACCTCCTGCAGCTCCAGCGTCCTGCAAACTCCACCACCATTCAACATGTCCTGACCCTCGTGCGGACCTTCACCATCGGCGACGGCACCTCCCAAC